GCTACTGTGTAAAAAAAAAAAACTATGCATGCAAGCCCAAGGCGTCACCATGTCCGGTCTTGCCTTGTTTGTTACTTTTTGCGTCTAGCCAGCCCAAGCTATAGCTGGCCAAACGGGCTGGCCTGGCACGACACGTGATGGGCCAGGCCCGGCACGCTCTAATCAGGCCGTGTCAAGCACGCGACACGTCTTGGGCCGTGCTTAGACCTGAAGATTGGGCACGCGGGCCGGCATGGCACGGCCGTGCCAAACAGAGAACACTTTTTTTTTCGTTTTTAAGAGGCACGACCGTGCCTTTCGTGAAAGCATAACCATGCCTCTCACGAAAGAAAAAAATGAAAAACACATTTTTTTCCTTTTTGAGAGGCACGGCCGTAACTCTCACAAAAGCAAAACGGTGACTCTCGCAAAAAAAAGAAAACACATTTTTTCGGCAATTTGTTTTTATTTATTTTTTGACCCAAGAGTTAAGGAAGACTGGTGGAAAATGAAAATGTCGAAAAAACCTGAAAAAAAACTTTTTAAAAGATGAAAATAAAGCTAACGATCTAACTTGTTTGGTCACCTTGGGAAGAACCTATGATAAGCATGTGAACATAGGCAAAAACAACTAACCAAAAAACCCACCAATGAATGAAAAAATTTAGTTGCCAAATTATTAAATGAAGAGTTTAGCACGAGCAAGTTAAGCAGCGAAGTACGTATTCAGCACGTTAACTGCTAAACTTTTGAATGTGCTTAGCACCTCGTCTAAATGTATGTATAATGGTGACATATGAACACAGATGCTCCATAACAAAAAGTAGTTTGAGACATCTACTCTCTTTATTTTTATATACAAGGTCATTATGAAATACACATTTTGCATCTATACAAGGCCACAAACAGTAATCGAGGCAAAATTAATGATATTTTCTCATACTAACAACCTGTTTGATACTTGTATGCATGCAGTCATAATGACAGTCGGCTACTTCCTTCACTCATTTTCTTTGCATGCATACGAAGTATTAATGATCCTAGTAAACAAGAAAAAAAGTTGACTTGTAAAACAGGCATTAAATTTTATGTTGGTATCTGTAATCCGAATTTGTGGACTTGTATACAAAAATGGAGGGAGTATGTTAATTTTTTCTCCCCAATGCAAGCTACCACTAGTGGGCCTCATCAAAGAATAGAAAAGAGAAAAGTATATTTTTCATCCCTCAATTCTTGACGGAGTCTAGATTTGGTCCCTCAACTTCAAAATCGGACAACTTGCACCCTTAATTTCTAAAACCGGACAAGATTCATCCCCGGTAACGGTTTTGACCGGTTTTGGTGCTGTCCCACCCCGGTTTTGACCGTTCCGACTCAAATTTGGATACCTTTTCCAAGTCCACGTGATGTTTTCAAATTCGGTTATTTTTTCAAATACGTGAACCTTTTTAAAAAAATTGTACTTTTTTTAAATCTGCGTACTTTTTACAAGTTCATGTACTTTTTCAAATATGCGTATTTTTTAAAGTTCATTTAGTTTTTTAAGTTCATTTAATTTTTTAAAATTGATGTACACTTTCAAATTTGAGTACATTTTATTGAAAGAGTTCATGAATTTGAAAATTTATGCGAACTTGAAAAAAGTACGCGGATATGGACTTCTTTTACACAAAAATATGTGGATTTCAGAAATTGTTTCATCTTGAAACAAGTATGTGAATTTCAAACAAAGTTCATGGATTATAAATGGAACACGGATTTGAAAAAAAATGCGGACTTTGAAAAGCATGTGGATTTGAAATAAGTATGCGAATTTCAAAAAAAGTTCATGGCTTTGAAAAATACTTGGATTTGATAAAATTACACAAACTTGGGAAAAATACGGGGATTTGGAAAAGGTACGTAAATGTTAAAAAATCACGGATTTGAAAAAAGTATGTGAATTTTAGAATAGTTTGCTGATTTGAAAAAAGTATGTTTATTTTTGAAAAAAATATGTGACCTTGAAAAAACTATGCGGAGTTGAAAAGTGTACGTGGATTTCAAAAAGTTCACGGATATAAAAAAATTACAGGAATATGAGTGAGCACGGGTCAAAACCGGGGTGAGTCAACACCAAAACCGGTCAAAACCGAGTCCGGGGACGAACCTTGTTCGGTTTCGGTAGTTAGAGGTGCAAGTTGTCTGGTTTTGAAGTTGAGGGACCAAATCTAAACTTCACCCAGAGTTGAGGGACAAAAGGTATACTTTTCTCAATAGAAAATAAAGACTTTCACTAGACATGCATCTCTATTCTCAACTTCAACCTTTTTAGCTTTATGCATCGGACCACACTTTTTCTCTCAAGCACCTGCCTCTTGCAGAGAATTCCGTTGCTTCATCCAAACATGTTTTTTTATCCAATCCTATGTGGCCTATGGAGCATTCTTAAGGCTATGCATTTTACATGCCTAAGCACTTAGACCGTGATGATTTTTATTGTCGAGGATTATGCGCCACGGTGATTTTCTGGAGAAAAGATTCCTGTATGGTCCTACGCTTTTGAGAATCCCATGTGCGCAGTCTCAGTCCTCACTACTCATCTCCGGATCAGATCTGGAGCACAAGAACCACTGACGACGAGAGACAAGAGGAAAGGCAACCCCTCAGATCTGGAGCTGCCCGTGCCCTGAGCTCCTCGCCGGTGGTCGGGTAGAATATCTTCCTTGGGCGGCAGCGACGACGAGCCCGCCCCGGAGGTTGGGGCGGCGGGGGCTCAGACGAGCTCTAACTGGCGAGCGGCGGCGGTGAAAGAGGATTTGCATGCGAGTATCCGACAGTTGGGATCCCATTGTTCAGGTTCATGATTCAGGTTCAAATCCACTCCCTTTTCTTTTTCAAGCACAGCTACCATGAGATTCAATGATCTGATTTGACTGATTTCAACATGGCAGATGCAGTCAACGGACGCACGTCAAGAGTAAGGGCTGCAACCAGAAAGGGAAATCAGTCCTGGGTGTGGCTAGCAACTTCAGAATTGAAAATGTGATTTAAGTTCTTTCCTCTATAGATAGAAAAAAAGAAGGAAACTCTGTCCTGGTTGTGCTACTGCTGGGTGCATGGAGGCAGCAGTGGTGAGCGTGTCGCGGGGCGCCATAGGCTTCGTGATTGCGAAGCTTGGCAATCTGCTCGCCGGCAAGTACGACCTGCTCAAGGGAGCCAAAGGAGAGATCATGTTCCTTAAAGCTGAGCTCGAGAGTATGCGAGCATTCCTGGAGAGGATGTCGGAGGCGGAGGAGGAGCCCGACAAGCAAGCCAAGTTATGGGCGAAGGAGGTGTGTGATTTGTCCTATGACATCGAGGATAGTGTTGACGAGTTCATAGTCCTGGTGGAATGTGAGTCCGACTGCGAGCCGCATGGATTTAAGGGATTCATTCAGAGGAGCATGAACTTGTTGACGACGATGAACACTCGGCATAGGGTCGCGAAGGAGTTCCGAGGCCTCAAGGGTCGTGTCATGGAGGTGAGCAAGCGACGCATGAGGTACAAGATTGATGATGCTGTCTCAAAGCAAAACAAGACAACCATAGACCTTCGCCTCCTGGCACTCTACGCAGACACTGCGGGCCTTGTGGGTATCGACGGGCCGAGGGATGAATTAATTCGGCTGATGGCGAGTGAAGAGGGTAGTCCTGCGCACCTGACAAAGGTCCTCTCCATAGTTGGATTCGGAGGGCTTGGTAAGACTACACTTGCGAACCAGATTTACCACAGGCTAAAGTGGCAGTACCAGTGTCAAGCTTTCGTTTCTGTGTCCCAGAAACCAAACATAAGAATGATTTTGAGAAGAATGCTCTCTCAAGTCCATGGAGTGCCAGAGGGAACCAACATGGAAATATGGGCTGAGGAGGAACTGATCAGTGAACTCAGAGAATTCCTTATAGATAAGAGGTACGCCTGTTCAGAATTGACTGTCATCCAAAGTAATTTGTAATTTTTGGTCTCGCATCTGTTCTTTTTATCTTGCTAGTACTCTTTCAGCGAAATTTATGTACCCTCTGTAGATGTTCTATGCTTGTGGTTCACTAGAGAAACTAGTTATAGAATCCTATAACTGATTTCATTTATTCTGAAAATAAAGTTCCTCAAATCAACTCATTCTCACAAATGCGGACAGAATATTCAACTTTAACCACTATTAGTTCAATACATAGACAAGTACAGTTGCATTTTTAACGTTCAAGTAATAAAGGTTCCATTTGGTGTTTTTGCTCTTTCAGATGCAGTTGCAGAGACTGAGTATTCTTTCGTTTATATTTTACTTTTGCCTATAGTTCACTATTGCCTGGTACTTATCGTAGTTTATATGAAATAATTTTGCAGGTACTTGATTGTAATTGATGACATTTGGGATGAAACTACATGGAATGTTATTAGATGTGCTCTTCCAGAAAATATGTACGGTAGCATGATAATAGCAACTACCAGAATTAATTCTGTGGCTAGAGCTTGCTGCTGCCATCAACGTGACTATGTTTATAAGATGAAGTCACTAAGCAAAGAAAACTCAAGAAAGCTATTTTTTAAACGAGTATTTGGTTTAGAAGATGCTTGCCCTCCGTACTTGGAAGAAGTTTCAGCTCAAATTTTGAAAAGATGCGGCGGCTTGCCTCTTGCAATTGTGACTATATCTAGCCTTTTGGCTAGTGAGCGAAACAAATTGAAGGAGCATTGGGTGCACATAATGAATTCTCTGGGCCCTAATTTTGAGGTGAATCCAACATTGGAAGGAATGAGGCAAATACTGAGCCTTAGTTACATAAATCTTCCTCACTATTTGAAGACATGCATGCTTTATTTGGGTATGTATCCAGAGGACTATATAATCAAGAAAAGTGATTTGGTCAGGCAATGGGTAGCCCAAGGTTTTGTAAGTAAAGCACATGGGCAATGGCCAGAGGATGTTGCAGAGTGCTATTTTAACGAGCTTGTTAATAGAGGCATCATTCAACCAGTTGATACAGATCATAATAGTGAAGTACTATCTGGATGGTATAATAGATGGTGCAATGTTGGAAACCACCCAGCTCTCACAAGTAAGAGCGCTGGCGAGATTTGGTACCTCTGCATATGCACCTCCTCTCTTGAAGTTCAAGCATCTCCGAGTTTTAACTCTTGAGTTTACAATTGGAAACCATGGGTCGGAGATACCTGATCTCACTAGAATATCTCATTTGTTCCAACTGAGGTATCTAAAAGTCAAAGCAGATGGTGAAATAGTGTTACCAAGGAAAATTCGGGGACTAGAGCAATTGGAGACCTTGGAGTTAGGAGTATGTCCTCTGGAAGTTCCGTCAGATGTTATTCATTTGTGCCGGTTGCAGCACCTGATCATCCCTAGTAGGACAAATTTGCCCAACGGGATTGGCAACATGAAATCTTTATGTACGCTGCAAGAGTTTGATGTGGGCTTGAATTCTATAGACAACATCAGAGACCTTGGAAATCTGACCAATTTGAGGGATCTTCGAATATGTTACAGTTTTACGAACATGAATGAATTGCGCTTGGATGTTTTGAGATGTTCCCTTGAAAAACTTTGCAACCTCAGATATTTGCACACGGATTCTAACATCAACAGTTTGTATGTGTTGAGTTCGTCTGCTTCTCCTTACCTTCTTCGGAGGCTTCATATGTTGTGCATGTTTCCGAGGGTTCCTAAGTGGATTGCAGAGCTCCATAACCTCATTGACCTTGATCTCACAGTTGAGGTGTTGGAGGATGATATTGGAATTCTTGCACAGTTGCAATCTCTTAACCACCTCAAATTGCACATTGAAGGAACTCCTGAATCTGAAGAGAAGGTAGTCATATCTGGAATGGGATTCCCTGGTCTTAAGCATTTCAGGCTGTCCTGCATCAGGATATCACAACTGACTTTTGAGGCAGGGGCAATGCCCAGTCTCGAAAAGCTTGAGGTCAGGCTCAATTTTCTCTATGGCGGTGCACCTACAGTCATCGAGCACCTGTTAGTCCCCAAGGAAATCCTTGTAATTGTTGGGGGATGTGGTGCCGATAAATCCAGTACAAGGGCTGCAGTGTCAGCCTTAAGGAAGGCCATTGATATGCGCTCATGTCATCCTACAGCTAACATTGAGTGTGTTGACGATTCACTGTTCCTTGGGCGCCTCCTTGATGATGGCTTCAGCTGGAGGAAGTACGGCCAGAAAGATATCCTTGACGCCAAGCACCCAAGGTTAGCAAAGGCTTCTTCTGAACAATTCTGAAACTCCAATTTCCCCCTGGTTTCTTGTTAAATTGTACTTTTGCAGAGGTTACTACCGTTGCACATACCTGGCCAAGGAAGCTAAACAATTAATAATGGGCTATAGAATTGATCGCACTCTCTTACGATGCTACATGCTCCAGTCCAGATCCTTCCCAAATACAGTAGTATCTGTCTGCAGTTAGAGGTTCTGATGCTCCCGGCGATGAAAGCCTTGTAATCTGTCAGCCAACTCTGCTCACTGCGTCCACACGTCGGCGCTGTATCTGGAGCTGGCCTTCCTGGCGCGCTTCGAGGCCATGGCGCCGCACGCCCCCGCCGGCCCAGCTCCGGCCTGCTGCAGAGCGGCCGCCATCTTTGCGCCGGCGTCGACGACGTAGTAATCCATCCGTCTCTTCCTCATTGGAGGAGAAACCAGCAGAAGAGATGAGGAGGAGGAGGAGGAGGCGCTGGTGGTGCTGGTCGGCCTCTTCTTGGGCGGCAACAGCGATTCCTGGATCTTGATGGCGGTGGGGAGGCAGCACCCGGCGACTAGCTGGAGCTGCGAGCCGTCGTCATCGCCGCTGCGGAATTCGTCGGCCTCTTCTTGGGCGGCAACAGCGATTCCTGGATCTTGATGGCGGTGGGGAGGCAGCACCCGGCGACTAGCTGGAGCTGCGAGCCGTCGTCATCGCCGCTGCGGAATTCGTCGGCCTCTTCTTGGGCCCCACAAGGGTGGTGGGCGCGCTCCCCTACCTCGTGAGCACCTCGTGTGCTTTCCGGACTCTGTTTTCTTGCACGTTACGTATTTTGCTCGGTAAAAATTCATTATATATTCTCCCGAAGGTTTTGACTCCCGTATCACGCAAACCTCCTCTGTTTTTGTTTCGAGCTATTTTTTGTTAGGGTTTTCCAGGCTAGGCATCATGTCGTCTCCCTCCTCTAACAATGGCGACAACGATGCTTGGCTAATGAAGATAGATCTGAAGAAGGAAGAACCCATGAAGGTCAACAAGGATGAAAGGATCAAGAAGGCCACGGAGGATCAAGCTCCAGCAGCAGAAGACACCCTTCAAATTGATCATAACCTTCTTACCCAAACTGAGATCGAAGCTTTCAAGATGATTGAGTTGGCTCGTGTTCAAAACAAGTATCTCACACAAGAAAATATTTTGTTGAAGGAGCATATTGTCGCACTCAAGGGCATTATTCGCAAGCTGGAGGACCTCTTACGCTCGATGTGCGATTATCCGTCACCTCCACCTTCTTCACCAACCAAGGAGATATAATCACATTGGTATGGGCACTCCCCTTGGCAACTGCCAAGCTTGGGGGAGGTGCCCTGGTATCGTATCACAATCACAACTCCTATCTTTACCATTTTTCTTAGTTTAATCCTATTAGTAGTATCTTGATCTAGTAGAATAAAGTTTATGGCATGATCTAGTTTTGAGTTTTGCTTTATGATCTCTCTATGTAATTGAGCCCGTGAGCTATATATAATAAATATTAGTGTTGAGTCAAGGGCTTGATTATTTTGCGATGATCTTGGGTGAATAAAAGAAAAGAGAAAAAGAATAAAAAGAAACAAAAAGTTCATATTGATCTTATTGAGAGTAATGACTTCACATAGAAAGAGTATGATGATTAAAAGTTGTTGGGAGTTGGCAGACATAGCTTTGGTCATTGTTGCAATTAATATGAAGTAATAAGGAAAGAGAGGTTTTCACATATAGATATATTATCATTGACATCTTTTATGATTGGGAGCACTCATTAAAATATGACATGCTAAAGAGTTGATGTTGGACAAGGAAGACAACGTAATGAGTTGTGTCTTTCTTATAACTGAGATAAAGTATGTTGTCATGGATCCTCTAACTTGTTGATCTTGCCTTTTCCCCTCATGATAGCCAAATTCTCAGCACCAAGTAGAAATACTACTTGTGCTTCCAAATACCCTTAAACCAGTTTTGCCATGAGAGTCCACCATATCTACCTATGGATTGAGTGAGATCCTTCAAGTAAGTTGTCGTCGGTGCAAAG